TTTTCACTGTTTGGCAAAACAAACAAAAAATAACATTTTGTAAATATTATCAAATTAAATTCAATCAAAATTTCAGGATTTCTTATCTTTTTTTTTCTGAGCATTCATACAACCAACACTGTGTTTTCCTTCCACTTCTTTTTTGCTTGAAAAAATTTTTTTCAATTCTTTCTTTCTTTTTTTTTCTCTAAGGTTCCAGTACTGAAGATTGAACTCAGGGCCTTCACGCTGAGCTACATCCCTACATCCCTAACTCTTTATTCCTTTTTATTTTTGAAACAACATCTTGCTAAATTGCTGAGTTGCCCATGGTGGGCTCAAATTTCTGATCCTCCTGCCAGAGCCTCTGACTCCCAGAGGTTTCCCCGACATGCACCGCCAAACCAGGCCCTTTTCTCAGCTCTTTCATCTCATTTGTTTCTATCCTTTTACATAAAATTAGCTCCCCCTGAGTCCCCTCCCTCTCTGTAAAGCCATTTTATTCAAAGGTAGATTCACAATTTGTCTTCTCCTTCCTCCAACTCTTCAACTTCTAGGAGCTCATGGGCAGTTCCCCTTCTGAGACTTAACTATTCATCAGTCAGAAGACTTGAATTTCCAATTCATCTTAAACTTTAAAATAGTTAAATCCTCACTTCTGCATTTTGTTACATAGCTCCAATTAATTGTTAAATTTTTAAAATATGAAAGTTATTTAATTTTGGGGAGGTTTTTTGGTGGTTTTTTTAGCAAAACATTTATTGGTACATTTTATTTTATTTTTTTTAATAACGCAACATTTATTGGTACATTTTAGGCACACATAATGGTAACATTCGTCATAGGGAATCTGCACCTGCACATGATATGTCCTGCCTCTTCTTTTTTTCTCATTCCTCCCTCTCCTCTCAGGGCCCCCTCCCCTCCCTATATACTAAAGCTTTGTTTCCATTTTTTTTCTATTTTTACTTTTTTTCCTATCTTTTCCTTCCTTTCTCTCTCTGCCCTCCCTTGTTCTCCTTCCCATTTGAACATTTTCTTCCCATTTCCTAATATCTATTATACATTTTAGTCTTTATTTCCACTTTTGGTTTCTCACACCAGAGAAACAATGTGGTGTCGTTTAGTGTTTTTGACACAGTCTTGCTATGTAGTTCAGGCTGGCCTTGAACTCACTGTGTAGCCCAGGCTGGCCTGGAGCTCACGGGGATCCTGCTGCCTCAGCCTCCTGAGTCCTGGAATTACAGGCATGTGCCACCATGCCCAGCCATTGGGAACTTTTAAACAGGAAATGCTATAATTGGATTACTTTACAAAAGTCATTTTGGGTGTTTTGGGGACAGTGATGGGGTGTGAGAGAGAAAGAAGGGGAAAGCTTTAGGAAAATATCATGGTAGCTGAGGAAAGACACAGGCTGCTTCAGTGACAGGAGGGAGATGGGTAGATTTTTTTTTTTCTAGAGAAAAACGCAAGACCAGGTTTATTTCATACAATATTATTTACACATTTTTCATTTTCTAATTTACACACAATATACAAAGTGAAGGTAACATTTTGTATGAATCAATAAGAGCCGGGATGAACTGGCCCAGTAACATTCCTATCAAAAGGAGACACTCAAGAGTCAAGCCTAAGTATTCTGCCCAATTAAATGTCTTTGTTCTCAAAGGTCAGATTTTACTAAAATTCCATGTCAACATACTAAAAGGTGGAACTGTGGTGTGGGCTTCCAAAATGGAAGACCTTAAAATTTCTACAAGGAGAGGTGTACTTGTACAATATGCCTAAAGTACAGTGAAAACTGGGGTTGTCAGCAATAGGGAAATGTGGGAACATCAGGACCCTCAGAGGGGGTTCAGTGTCCCAATGCTTTTTATGTTCTAACACTGCAGCAGTAACTGCCTGTCCTAACAGAAGGTAAGGGTGAGGGCAGACTAGGAACCGGTGTATTAGTACAGGAGAGACATTTCTAATCTGCAAAGAGGACAGCTTTGATCCTAAAACCATGGGCAGATACTGGGAAGAAAAATTCAACATAGGGCCAAGTCACTCAAGGGAAAAACAATGCAGGCAGGGATAGCTTTAAAGGGGGCGGGGGAAAAGAACTGCTACTGTGACAGAAACATGTTGATGATCCAGTGTGACTCTGAGAAGAAACAGTGACAAGCCGATGATTTAATGGCTTGACCAAGGAATGTTGAGTTAGAAAACATTAGACTAACTCAGTATTTAACATGGAAAGAAGTTGGGGTTGTAGCGGCGCAGCCCCTTGTTTGGCAAGTGCTAGGCCCTGAGTTCAATTACCAGTACCAAAAAAACAAAACAAAACAAAAAACAAACCCTGTCCCAACATGGAAAGTATTCCTGGCACTCTAAAATTTGTGCCATTAAAGTTCATGATATGAGCAGCTTAGAGATAAAACCCTTATAGTCAATATTGTTCTCAGAAGATTGCTTTTCTTCTCTAGTAAAAAATCCCTTCTATGTTCAGCTGACATAGATAGCATGTTCAGGTTAGTTTTCATCACTAAACATAAGTGGATCAACATAAATGCTTATACAAAATACTGACTTCAACAAAATACAAAGCACTTTATCTTTCAGAAACTGAATATACAAAGCAAGTGGTTTTGTTGGTTTTGTTTTTTGTTTGTTTGTTTGTTTTTTGGTACTGGGGATCAAACTCAGGACCTTGTGCTTGCCGGACAGACGCTGGAACCACTGAGCTAAATCCCCAGCCCTTGTTTGTTTTGTTTTTGTACCAGGGATCAAACTCGGGACCTTGCGGTGCGAGGCAAGCAGCGGAACCACTGAGCTAAATCCCTGGCCCTCAAAGCAAGTGTTTTTCCAAAGGTTTTTTTTTTGGTACCAGGGATCAAACTCAGGTCCTTACACTTGTGAGGCAGGCGGCATAACCACTGCGCTAAATCCCCCGCCCTCCAAAGTATTTTCATAGGCAAAGGATTAAAAATGATGTTAACTGTACAGGTAGATTAATTTTTCAGGAAGGACTGAGAGGACATGCCAAGGGATGAGGGGAAGGGAGAAATCAAGACTTTAGGACTGCTAGGATACTTATGTCATTTATGGATATAAGGAAAGACTAGGAAAATATCAAGTTGGAGAGAGAAATCAAAATTGCTGTGTGCATGAGAGTGTGAGGTATCTAGCAGCCGTGCAAAGGGGGATGGATGTTGCACAGACCTGAAGGTCAAGGCTGGACACATAAATTTGGAAACAACAGACTATTTGTACCTGTTATTTACAGACAGGAGACTGTATATTATCATCCATGAAAAATAATGTTGACCAAAGCATGAGGCAACTTTAAAGATAGGATTTCCTGGCTGGTGTGGTGGCACAGACCTGTGGTACCAGCACTCTGGGGGACTAACATAAGAGGATCAGAGCCTGGGAAATTTAGCAATTTAGCAAGAACCTGTCTCAAAATAAAAAATAAAAACAGCTGGGAATGCAAAGGCCCTGGGTTCAATCCCCAGCATCATGAAAAAAAAAAAAAAAAGAAAGAAAAGGAAGGAAGGAAAGAGACAGAGAGAGAGACAGAGAGAGAGAGAGAGAGAGAGAGAGAGAAAGAAAGAAAAAGAATTTCCAGATTATTCCAGAGCCCCCACACTTACATTACCATCTATCCATTTGCAGAGTCAGTTCCATTTCTAGCCAGAACCTGATTGGCTCAATTTGGGTAAGTTATCTACCCCTGTTTCTATCACAATGGCTATGAGACCTGGGTCATAGAGTATAAACTGGTTTCTGGGGAGTCAGTCTATAAACTGATAGGAGAGGGGATCATGTAATGGCATAATCTGGGTCTGTGTCTCATGAAGTTGAAGACTGAAGTTGAGGACTTCAGTAGAAGGAGGTAGACAGGAGAAATGTTTATTAAAAAGAAAGAAATAGCTCCCAATAGTTGAGAGGGAACTGAAAAGTGGGTTGTAAAGAGGACTCTTTGTTTTTTGTTTTTTTGGTGCCGGGGATGAAACTCAGGACCTTGCGCTTGAGAGGCAGGTGGCAGCACCACTGAGCTAAATCCCCAGCCCCTGTCTGGGAGTTTTTATGCCGAAAATGACTAAGGCTGAAACCAGTCCAAGTCAAACTACCGTCAACTTATAGGACTAAAACAAGCTTACTTAAACTAGACACGGGCCTGTAAGGAGTTGAAGCACATAGCAAACATAATGTCTGCAGGTGATTCTTGGCTGCTATCTTATTCAAGTAGTTAAAAGAACAGAGGGAGAAGGAAAAAAAACATTTTCCAGATAGATAGGAGCAGGAGCTGTCATAGTGGCCCTCTATCTCCTTGCTTGTCGTCTCGCTTGTTACACCCTGGACTTACTAACTCTTCACCTCCAGGCTTGGTCTTCCTGACTCTATCTTGGGCCCAGTGCTCTCTAGCTGCCTGCTACCTTCTGCCTATCTTGTCTTTCTATAATAATCAGAGGCCCATTGGGGCCTCTGTAATAATTAGAGATGGCTCTTGGCTTCCAGGCTGAGCACACACTTAAAAATTGATCCAAAATTATATGCATCAATTTTATAATTGGACAAACATTATTTTCTGTCTCTTTTTTTTCATAATACTGAGGACTGACCCCATGGCCTCTCATACACTAAGCAAATGCTCTACCTATGAGCTACATCCCCAGCCCAACCCTTAAAAATTGATCCAAAGTGATATGTATTATTTGGACAAATTTGATTTTTTAAACTTTATTTTTTGTGTTACTAAGGATTGAATCTAAGGCCTTCACACTGAGCTATAGCCCCAACCCTTTTTTTTTTTTTTAAATTTTGAGAAGGGTTCTTGCTAAATTGCCCAGTCTGGGCTTGAGCTTTTAACCCTCCTGCCTCAGCCTTCCAGAGTGATGGGATTACAGGTGTGACCACTATGCCCACTGATTTTCACTTTGAATGAATAATATCATTAATATTCAATACATTGTCTTACTCTTTCATTTTGTTTTATTTTATTTTGTTTTTTGAGGCAGGACAGGATCTAATTCTATATTCCAGACTGAGCCTGAAAAAGGCACCCATGACTAGGAGGCAGAAAGCAAACTTTATTGACATCGACAGGCCTGGTTGGGATAATTCCTGAAAACCAGGCGGCTGTCTTTTGTCTGCCTACAGTTTATATAGGATTTGCAAGCAGGAACTAGTACAGAAGCAGAGCAAGCAGTTGACTGATTACATATGGTATCATTATTACTGATTGGGCTACAGCAAGTTCAAACTCAGGGTAAGAAACATTAATTTAGAGTAAGCTCGGCTAGATAAGGGAGACACATATTTGGAATACACATCAGTTCAGGGTAGGGTCTGCCAAGGAGGAATTTGCTTGGGCTGAAAAATAAAACTGCTCATGGCCGACATTATCCTGGACTGGTGTCCCACCTGTCTGTCAGCCATATTATCTTTCTGTCCCAGCAGCAGCAGGTCGAAGTGGCACTGGCAGAGAGGGAGAGTTAGAGACCCTCGTGCGGGTGCTGACCACCAGCACCAGGCCTCCATGAGGCACCTGATAGCCTGAGACTGGGCTGTATTAGAAATGCATCATAAAGAGTACATTACAATCTAGGATGGGATCAAGCCCTGGGCAGACAGGGAGTCTTGAAGGTGGATGTCAAGGTCTGTCCTTGGCAGCAGTAACAGGTTAGATAGGGAGTTATGTTCTTGGCAGGCAGTGCTAACAAGAAAATATGTGCTTACAATAATCATTCGTTACAGACTACAGAGCTTTGGAGTTATTAACTCCAATTTCAGATTAATCCATACCACCCTTTTCCTTTTCATTAACAGTTGTCCACAAATACATAAAATGTCATGTACCATCACGAAAGTGCTAAGGAATTCCTGCTACAACTTAGGTGCAGCTTACAGAAGTTATCCTGAAGTTACATCTAATTGACTGAACTTTTCCTTTATTTGTGTCCTCTGGGAGCTCTTACAGCTTGAGAATTGGAACAATGTCACATGTAATGGACCACACATTGGGAGACCTGCCAGTTAGAGACACGGACTCAGTATTTCTGTGGAAAGGTAAATCCATGTTGCAAATGGGAAAGGGACCAGGAAGAAGGAGGAGAGTAGAGGGGAAGTAAAAAGAATTAAGATGTGTTCTGTACATGTACCAACTCCCTACCATGAGTATAATCATTGTGTACTGCAAACATGTACTGGTAAAATAAAAAATTTTAATAAAAGAAAGGTAAACCTAGTATCTGAGGACAGATGCCTTTGAGAATTAAAACAACTCTGCCAGTGTGGGACATCTTGCTGGCCTTCACAGTGACTGCTTTGCTTTTAGCTCTTGTGTTCAATCTTCTAAACATTTTACTTATAAACTCTCTTTTGGAGTGAGGGTGCTGGGATTGAAACCTGGGCTGTCACACTGAGCTACATTCCCAGCCCTTAAAATTTTTTTTAAATTTTGAGCCAGAGTCTCATTAGGTCACTATTTTATGTTGTTGTTGGGCTGGGGATTTAGCTCAGTGGTTCTGCTGCCTGCCTTGAAACCACAAGGTCCTGAGTTCAATCCCTGGTACCAGAAAAAAAGGAAAAAAAAACCCTCTTCTCACTTATGTTATTTTTGGGGGGTTTTTTGTTTGTTTACTTGCTTGTTTGGTACCAGGAATTGAACTCAGGACCTTGTGCTTTTGAGTCAGGCAAGGTGCCACTGAGCTACATTCCCAGCCCTGTTATTTTTTTTTTTTTTTGAGACAGGGTTTCATTATGTAGTTCAAGCTGGCCTTGAACTCATTATGTAGCCCAGGCTGCCCTCAAACTCATGGCAACCTTCCTGCCTCAGCCTCCCAAGTGCTGGAATCACACCCAGCTCACTAATCACTAAATTGGCCAGGCTAGGGTCAAACTTTCAATCCTCCTGCCTCAGACTCCCCAAGTGCTGGGATTACAGGCATGCATCACTACACCCAGCTCTAAATTCTTTTTTTTTTAATTTCAAAATGCTTTTATTAAAGGCAAAAACTGCCTTCCACCTCTAAATTCTTATAATAAAAGTTCTATCATGCAGAGTTAGGAGGTAACACCAGCTGTTATGACCACAGACACCAAAAAAAAAAAAGGCAAGAACAAACTAGTGGGCTAGGAATGTAGCTCAATGGCAGAGTGCTTGCCTAGTAGGCTTGAGGTGGTAGGTTCAATCGTAAGTACTGAAAAAAAACTAGTAGATTGCACTTACCTATCTGTGTGTTTAGTTCTTCAGTCCCAATAAGCAGAGGTAGGCAATTTAAGACAAAAGGCCTCAGCCTCACCAGAGCTGCTTCCTCAGAGGCCTCAAATATTTTTGTAACTTTGTTCCCAGCCTCCCACCCTTCAATCCTAATCATAGCTACTGTTGATTCTATTTTCACTTCACAATTTTTTAAAAGGATAGGACACTTTGTGCACTGCCCACCAGCGTATGCAACCCTTCTGGAAAAAAGCTTGGCATTATGTAGTTACAGTTGAAGACAAAACTCTACATCTGCATATAAAATTTACAGGAATTCTTGAATATGTACTGGGAGACATTTATCAGAATGTTCATAGCATTTTATTCAAAAGAATAAAAAATAGGACCTGGCACAGCAGTGTACACTTCTAACACCCGCCTCCAAGGAGGTTGAGGTGGTAGCATCTTGAGTTTGGGGCCATCCTGAGCTATATAGTGAGACCCAGTTTCAAAAACAAAACAATCCTAGCACTCTGGGAGGCTGAGGCAGGAGAATTGCAAGTTCAAGCCCAGTCTTGGCATGTTAGTGAGACCCTGTCAGTTGACAAGGATTGTGAGGAACTGGGACTGTCACACACCACCAGTAAGGACAGAAAATGGTAAAATCACTTTATAAACCAGTTTGGCAGTGTTTGAAAAGTTGAATATATACCTGCCCATGACCCAGTGATTTTACTCGTCTTACCATAGAGAAATGAAAACGTGCATTGATGCAAAGAACTTGTACACGTGTTTATACCAGCTCTGTTTGCGTTAGCCCCAAACTGGAGACAACCCAATGTCCATCAACAATGAATGGATAGGGCTAGGCTGGGGATTTAGCTCAGTGGTTCTGCCACCTACCTCGTAAGCACAAGGTCCCGAGTTCCATCCCTGGTTCAAAAAAAAAAAAAATGAATGGATAAATTATGGTATACTTATACCAAGGAACACAATTCAGCAATTAAGAGAAACTATTGATACATAAAACACCATAGATGATCACAGCACTCTTAGGCTGAGGCAGAAGGATGGCATGTTTGAGCCCACCCTAGGCAACTTAGTAATATAGAAAGACTCACAAAATAAAAAACAAAAAAAGGCTAGGAATGTAGCTCAGTGAAAAAGCCCTGGGTTCAGTCCCCACTATAGCAAAACAAGCAAACAACAACAAAAACAGAACCCAGATGAATCTCAAAATAATTAAACTGCCGGGGAGTAGCTCAACGGCACTGCACCTAGCAAGTGTAAGGTCCTTAGTTCGATCCCTGGTACTGGGAAAAAAAAATTAAACTGAGTAAAAAGAGATCACACCAACCTGAGTATGGGGATGCCCACCTATAATCCCAGCACTCTGGGAGACTGAAGCTGGAGAATTGAAAGTTCTATCCCAGCCTGGATGATTTAGTGAGATCCTGTCTCAAAATAAAAAAATAAAAGGGACTGGGAGTGGTGGTGCACGCCTGTAATCCCAGCACTTGGGAGGTTGAAGCAGGAGGATCGCTGCAAGTTCTAGGCCAGCCTGGGCTACATATTGAGCTCAAAGACAGCCTGAACTACACAGGGAGACCCTGTCTCAAAAAGAAAAGAAAAGTAAAAGGGTTGAGTGATAGAGCACCCCTGGGTCCAGTCCCCTGTAGAGGGGTGTGTGGGGAGGGTCACAACAGAAAAGGATACATAACAAATAACTTGATATATGAGGTGTGAACAAAAAATACAGTGAATCTTTACCTTAGACATTTTTAACTTTTACTACAGTAAAAAGCACATTACCTTTTTTTTTTTTTGAGACAGGGTCTCACTATGTAGTCCAGGTGGCCTTGAACTCACCATGTAGCCCAGATTGGCCTCAAACTCACAGCGATCATCCTGCCTCAGCCTCCCAAGAAGCACATTACCATTAATCCCCCTCAAAGTACTCTCCCAGCTTTGAACACAGTTATCCAATTGTACTTGCTATTTTCTAGAAGTCCCCTATTGTGAGTGTCTTTTCATGAGTGCCTATATGTCCTGAATTGAAAACATTTACAGCAATTTCTGTCAAATAAAAACATTACAGTGTGTCTTCATCCACCTTATTCATCAAACCTGGCATCAGGCAATTTCTGGCTCTTAAAGTCAAAATGATCATGAAAGATAAGTGATTCAAATTGATTCAGGACATCAAGGCAGCCACAACAGCACAACTAGACACTCATGAAAGAGAACTTTCCAGAACTGCTTCAGAAAGTGACAAAAATGATGCGGTAATGATTTTTGTGGTTTGGGGGGGTGGTTTTTGTTTTTTTTTTCGTACTGGGGATCAAACTTGGAACCTTGCACTTCTGAGTCAGGCAGGAGAACCACTGAGCTAAATCCCCGTCCTGCAGTAATGATTTTTGAAGCCAGGAGGAGTTTTTTTTGTTTTGTTTTGTTTTTGGTAATGGGGATAGAACTCAGGATCTCAAGCTTGCCAGGCAGGCACAGTGTCACTGAGTTACATCCCTGGCCTAAGCAGGAGTATTTTGAGGGGGATTAAGGCAATATGTCTTTTACTATAATAGTCTTGGTTTTGTTGGGTTTTTTTGGTACTGAGGATCAAACTCAGGACCTTGCACTTTCGAGGCAGGCGGCAGAACCACTGAGCTAAATCCCCAGCCCTGGCCCTGTTGTTTTCTTGAGACAGAGTATTGCTATATAGTCCAGATTGGCCTTGAACTCACTTTGTTGCTGAGGCCAGCCTTGAACTCATGACAGTCCTCATGCCTCGGCCTCCTGAGTGGTGGTGGGATTACAGATGTGTGCCACCATGCCTGGCTATAATAAATTTTTAAAAATTTAAACAGTCACCATATCTTATGATATTATGTATACAAAATTCTGCTAAAAATTCTATAAAAATGAAAAGTAATCTATCATGATCTAAAACATATCAATTGGTGTGCCTGGAGACAGAATTGGGGGTTTGGATTTGGTGTGGAGAGAAACAGAATGGATTACAAAAGAGCACAAGGAAACTTGGGGGTGAGAATATGTTCTTAATTGTGATGATAGTTTCACAGGTGTATACATATGTATGTCAAAAATAATCAAAATTTCCACTTTAATTATGTGTAGTGTGTATGTTGCATGTCGGTTTTATCCCAAAAAGCTTACTTGTCATCATTTCCAAAGGTTGGGGAAAGAAGTGGCAGAGATGGCAGTCCTGGCCAAGGTGGTTGCAGTGCAGACCTCTGGGCCCCTTTCCTTCCAGGTGGGCTCAGGCTGTTTGGAGCTCTGGGGCTTTCAGATGATTGCTAACTGGCTCGGACCACAGAGTGCACTCTGGTTTCCTCTGCCAGGACCAAGCAGTGGCTCCCTTCCAAGGAAGCAGCTTGGGGACATTTCCTCAAGCCACCGGTGAGACAGCTCCCAGTAATCAAGAAGGGTTTTTCTGCTTTTTCTACTAAGGTTATGAAGACAGTCATCAGCACAATCCTTGTCTAGGTCCAAATTATAAAAAAATAAAAAATATATAATGAGAACCTGTCTCATAAAAACAAAAATATTGTATGTAGGGCTGGGGATTTAGCTCAGTGGTTCCACTGCCTGCCTTGCATGCTCAAGGACCCGAGTTTGTTTCCCGGTACCAAAAAAACCAAAATATATTGTATGTAAAATCATTCTCCAATTTCCCTCTCCTGGGTCTTTAGGTAAGAATACAAAAACTCAACCAGCCTTGAGCAGGATGAGCCGAGAAGAGTTGGAAGACAGTCTCTTTCGACTTCGTGAAGAGCACATGTCGGTGAAAGGCCTTTTTTGGAAGCAACAGGAAGAGATTAAAAGGTATCCAGTTTTCTCCTAAATTTCTAAAACCTGACAGGTGTGGTTATACACACCTATAACCCCTGCACTCTGGGAGGCTGAGATAGGAGGATTACAAGTTTGACCCCAGCCTGGGCAATTTAGTAACTTAGTGAGAGGCTGTCTGAAAATGAAAAAGAAAAGGAGCTATGGATGTAGTTTAATGTAAAGGCTCTTGTACTGAAAATAAAAACTGAAACCTGTATCTACATCAGGCCTACTCTATACTAAACAAAAAGTAATATATTTTGCTTAAAGGTCTATACCAGAAAATGATTCAACACCAAGAATGTTTAATTTTTTTTTTTTGAGACAGGGTCTCACTAAGTAGTTCAGGCTGTCCTTGAACTCACTATGTAGCCCAGGCTGGCCTCAACCTTGGGGCGACTCTCCTGCCTCAGGCTCCTAAGTGCTGGGATTATAGGCATACACCACTAAACCTGACAAGAATGTTTAATATTTGAAGCAATATTGCTTTATTCTTTTCTCTTGCCAAATACTTCAATAAAGGACACACTATGTTGCACCATGGAGCTCCTGTCCTGGTCACCAAAGGGGATAGAGACAGAGAAAAATGGTCACTGTCTCAGGGAAATAAGAGGTCTTTATTTTCAAAATGAAAGGAAAGATTATATTGATCCTTTGCTGTATGCAGGCAATACAGCAATATATGTACATATGCACATATATTGAATTGATTTAATATTATAAATACTATTAAATCATTCAAGAGTGTGAAGGGGGGGAGCGAGGTGTGGTGGCACATGCCTGTAATCCCAACACTTAGGAGGCTGAGGCAAGAGAATAGCCACAAGTTCAAGGCAGCCTGAGGGACCTAGCAAGACCTTGTCTCAAAAAAAATGTTTTTTTTTAAAGAGTATGAAGGCCAGGGATTTAGCTCAGTGGTTCCACTCCCTGCCTTGCAAGCGCAAGGTCCCAGATCCCCGGTACCTAAATAAATAAATAAATAAATAAATAAATAAATAAATAAATAAATAAATAAAAAGAGGGCCTGGGATTTAGCTCAGTGGTTCTGCCGCCTGCCTTGAAAGCACAAGGTCCCGAGTTTGATCCCTGGTGCCAAAAAAAGAGTATGAAAGGGGTGTTGTTATGAGGAAAAGGAGACACAGAGGTTAAATAATTTCCCCAAGATGAAATTTAGTGAGTAGCAAAGCTGTAAACTCTTAACTCCAAAATACACCATACACAGTGGTTTCCAAATTAGATCTCTGGGATGAAACCTGGGGAGGAATCTGAGACGAGAAGAGGGACAGAAACAGATGGAGGCATGAATGTTCTGAGGGTCTCTCTCTAAGACACATTTTTCAAGACTCGGATGCCAGTGCTTTCCAGCCAAAGACCACAAGGAACATACCCGTAGTTGAGCGAGTTGGGGTCATTTACAGCCATAGAGAGAGAAAATAGAGAAAATGCACACCCTGGGGGAGCTGGGCATCTTGGAGTACAGGTTACAACCTGTCCTCATGTTTGGACTCCAGTGGGCGAGTGGGGAGGACCCAAGAAAGCAGGGGTTTGCTGCAGATTTGGTAGTTAGAAAAGTAGGGACGGTTCTGTCTGGGTTTCCCAACCCACCTATCTACAAGGAAAGTAGATGGAGCAAGGCTGAAGCTGTGATTGGTAAAGCAGTTGCAGTCACTCCTGTTAGCCCAGAAAAAAGGATGTTTGATATTTTTTGGGTGGTGGTGATCTTGCTTTTATCTATCTTAGTCAGAATTGTGTAATGAACTTGCTCATTCACTGTATTGCAGTTTCCAAGGGACCTTGTCTGAGAGCTGATGTTCTGTGAGTTGTCTAACAGGAGAGTAACATGGCCTAGCTGTGAGCACCAAGCCAGCTTCAAACAATGCTGAGGACTAGTTGTGCCAGACCAGTTCTCTGATGCCTAGGGACACTTTTTCTTTCTCATTGTAATCCCACAAAGACATTCAGAGTGTCATTTATAAATTATAGAACTGGAGCATCCTTAAGAGTCGATGACTCTTATATTGTGGATAATTTGAGAATCCAGTGAAGTCAGAAGTTTGTGTGGGCTATATACTAGTCAGCTTTCTGTTACTGTAATTAATGAAATACCTGAGGCAATCAGCTTATAAAGGAAAAAGGGTTGTTTGGCTTACGGTTCTGCAGATTCAAGGTAGAGTGGTGCCATTCCTTGGGCCTCTGCTGAGTGTGGCGCATCACAGTGCGGGCACATGGTAGAACAAACTGCTTACTTCATGAGCCAGGAAGCAGAGAGGAAGAGAGTGGCTCCCACAGTGTCCTTTGAAGGCACATCTTCAATGACCTGAGGACTTCCCACAATCACCTCCGACCAGGTCGCCCTGGACAGTAAGCTTTTAACATGCAAAAGGAGGACACTCATCCAAGCCTTAGCAGCCCAAGAATGTTGCTTCTGGGTGGATTACTAAAAAGTACTTGAAAAAGAAAATAAGGAAAACAGGGCCGGGGATTTAGCTCAGTGGTTTTGCCGCCTGCTGCGCAGGTGCAAGGACCGGAGTTTGCTCCCCAATACCAAAAACAAAATAAGGAAAACAACAAAAAAGAGTACTTGGGATTATGGATATTAAACTAGATTCTATCTTGGGCTGGGGATTTAGCTCAGTGGTTTCTCCGCCTGCTGCGCAAGCACAAGGACCCGAGTTCGATCCCCAGTACCAAAAAAAACCCCACTAGATTCTATCCATCTGGCTTTGAGCTACTTCATGCCCCAGTTTCTTTATCTGGATAAAATGATATGTAATAGTAACAACTGACACGTCCAGTGGCTACACAAAGTTACCGTGTGCCTGGGGACAGAAAATTAATTCTTTTGTTTCTTTCTTTGGGGGGGGGTACCAGGAATCAAACTCAGGACCTTGCTCTTGCCTGGCAGGCGTGGTGCCACTGAGCTACAGCCCTGGCCCCCCAAAATTAACTTTTTAAAAAGTGTAAATAAGGGGCCACAATAGATCCATTCATATCATAGATCAGCTCATGATTATTTGTCACCAAATGACTGTGATGTTCTATTTTGCCATAGGCTGAGGACGGCCTTGATCCGACTGAGATTGACAGCTGTGGGCGGGGACCGGCGGGTCCAGGCAGCTGCAGCAGCGCAGAAGTCGCAGAAGTCGGAACCCGCAAGTCGGCCAAGCCACGCTGCGGGGCGGCAGCGGCTCCCTGTGCACCAGCGCTCCCTGAGGCACAGGTCGCCAGCGCCATTGCTGCGCGTCCGTGCCTTGGCCCCAGACCGCGCTCAGCTTCGTGGGCGCCTGGGACACAGGCAGCTCCACACCGCCGGGGCGAGGGAGCCGGAGAAACCCGCGAGGGGTGAGGGTAGGATCTGTTCCGGTCAGGACTAAAACTGTGCGGAGGAAGTGTTGTGCTAGCCACGTTCTTTTCTGCTTTATTCCGCCCACCGACCTACTTTGTTCTTTTGTTCTCTCACCTTTTTACCACCCTAAATCATGTTTTCTTCTTTTGTTTGTTTTGTTTTTTGGTACCTGGGATCCAACTCGGGTCCTTGCGCTTGAGCAGCAGGCGGCGAAACCACTGAGCTAAATACTGGGATGTCAGGTTCAGAATTCTCAGTTCGGGCATGGGGGTGTAGTCCTGTAGTTATAGAGCACTTGCCTAGCATGCACGAGGTCTTGGGTCTGTCTGTCTGTCTGTCTCCCCGCCCGGCCACCTCAGCTCTGCTGAGGGCAAATCAAACAAGAAAGGGGAACTTGTGGTCAGTTTTGCAATGGTCTAGAAAAGAGATGCAGAGAAAATGTCGTGGTACTTCTCAGCTCTGAGGGAGAAGTGGACTCCTTTAAAAGCATGATCAACTCTAAGGTCCTTCTCCCACGAAAGCACACGTACAACGTGGACAAGCTGCCTTCAGTTTCCATGGGTTTAGAGAGTTCAAAAGCCCACTGCCGAGGTCTAGGCCTGGAAAACCTCTCTGTTGCTGTCTCTCCTCTGAATGCCAAGTGGTGGAGTCTGAGGCCCAACTTTCTCTGGCTGTGAAAACCAAATTGAGGGCTGGGGATTTAGCTCAGTGGTGCCTGGCTGGGAAGTGCAAGGTCCTGAGTTTGATCCCCTGGTACCAAAACAAACAAACAAACAAACAACATCAACAACAAAAAACACACAAAAAACCCAAATTGAATCTCCAGAGAAAAGGCATTCCATTCCCATGGACCTAAATCAAGGATAAGAGTTTAGGTGAAGGGAATCACACTCAGCATTTTATTTATTTGTTTATTTATTTTGGTACTGGGGATGGAACTCAGGACCTTGTGCTTTTGAGGTAGGTGCAGTGCCACTGAGCTACATCCCCAGCCCTTTATTTATTTATTTTAGTAAATTTATTTTATTTTATCCCTTTCCCCCCCTCAAGCCCCCTCCCCTCCCTGTGTACAAAAGCTTTGTTTCCATTTTTCCCTCCTATTTTCACTTTTTCTTGTCCTTCCTTCCTTCCTCCCTCCCTCCTCCCTTGCTCCCCTTCCCATTTGAACACTTTCTTCCCATTTCCCAACATCCATTATACATTTCAGTCCTCATTTCCACTTCCGGTTTCTCACAACAGAGAAACAATGCGATATTTAAATACGTGTGTTCTATTTATTTCACTTAAGAGTATGGTCTCAAGGTCCATCCATTTAGCTATAAATGTCTGAAGCTCATCCTTCTTCATGGCAGAGTAGTACTCCACTGTATAAAAAAAGCACATCTTCTTTATCCACTCATCAGTTGTATGGGCATTTGGCCTGTTTCCAAGGTTTAGCTATTACAAACTGCCCAGCATTTTATTTAAATACTCTTATTTTGTTAACAAGTACTCATTCTAGCATGGTTCTATACTTTCAAGATCTCTACTTCTGAGAACCAAACATTTGTAAAAGCAGCCGAAAGTAGAAAAATAGAATGAGTCCCAATTTCAGTTCCATCTAACAGTTCAGCATTTCTGAGGCCCCACTCTGAACCAGGCACTGGAGAGTAAGATCCATTAGGTGAGACACACAGTCCCTGCTCTGGACAAGCTTGTACTTCTCTTCTTTCCATTTATGCTCATGCATTTGAGTCTGTGGTCTTGCTGACTCACAAACTCGTAGTTGCCATTCTATGCAAGAGTAAAGAGACCTGTCCTCTGGGGCCAGTTGTGACAGCTGGGTTTTCCTAGGACTGAAGGCTCCGGGTGTCCAATTTCGGCATCTGGTGTCCTGGAGTGTGTTGTTCCCACAGCCTGCATCTTCTGTTTACATTTTCAGCACCGAGGGTTAGGCCGAGCTATACAGCCCCTCCCACATTCAAGGAGCATGTGACAAAGGAAAAACCAAGGAGTGAAACAACCTGTGAAGCCAGCAAACCGTGAGTTCTTATCACTTCTCCCAAGCTGTCAGCCCTGCAACTTTAGGTGGAAAGACATCATCTAGAGAACAAGTGAATGCAATGCGGTGATTTTCAGCATAATCAGAGAAGACGGAAGTCAACCCTCTGTCACATCTCAGCCTCTGTGCTGAAAATGGACTCCTTTTCCCCTTTGAATTTTTATCCCCCGCATCATAATTCATTTATATATCCATTTGTCATTTGAAGGCTATATTTTGTAAGATTATCCTCTACATAAGGAGAGATTACTGACTTCTCTAACTTTGTAAAAAGTTTGACAGCCCAATTCCAACACCCTATAAGCAGTTTCTAGATCTTTTTGTGTTTCATGTTTATAATTTAGCAGTGTACTTTCTTTCAGCAAAATCATAATTATGGCTAAACCCCTTGCTCTCTGTGTGCCTAACAGTACCCACATTATGTCCAACAATACTATGCAAGTGGAAGAACCACCATCATCTCCTGAGAAAATGTGGTCCCAAGATGAAAATTTTGAACAGAAAAGTTCATTGGAGTGTACCCAGAAGGCTGCAGAACTTCGGTAAGAGTGTGGTAGTCCAAGCCTCAAACCATAGTGAACTGAAAACAAGAAAAGATTCTTGCCAGGCATTGTGGTATTTGTAATCCCAACATTCAGGAGGCTGAGGTGGGAAGATGGAGAGTTGGAAGCCAGCCTGGGCTACATGGAAAGACCCTGCCTCAAATGGGAGGGAGACAGGGAGACAGGGAGAGAAGAGGGGAAGGGGGGATTGAGAAAGAGACAGAGAGAGAGGCAGAGGTTAAGATTCTTGCTTGTATCTTTCCTCCATTTTAGAGGAAAAGAGAATGTTTAGGACTAAATTTAATCTTTTTTTATTTTTGGTACCAGGGATCGAACTAGGGACCTTGTGCTTGTGAGGCAGGTGCCGGAACCACTGAGCTAAATCCCTGGCCCTACTAAATTTAATCTTAAGCAGAACTAGAATCCCTACTAAGTTAAGAAATAGATTAACTGAATAATAGACTTGCTGCTTTACTTTATAGAAAGAAAATTATTTCATCCTCATCACCACATAGGTGAATGGCCTCTTGGTGCATTGGTCCTTGGAGAACTTTTTTTTATTGGTGCATTTTAGATATACATAATGATAACATTCATCATAGGGAATTTATACCTGTACATGATATATTTTGTTTCTTCTTTTTTTTCCCATTTCCTCCCCCTCCCTTCAAACCCTCCTCCCCTCCTCATTTACAAAAGCTTTGTTTCCATTTTCCCCTTCTATTCTCTTTTTTCTTGTCCCTTTTTTCCTTTCCCCCACCCCCTCCCTTGTTCCTTTTCTCATTTGAACATTTTCTTCCCATTTCCCAATATCTATTATACATTTTTTCCTTAATTACATTTTTGGTTTCTCACACCAGAGAAACAATGTGATATATACACATATGTATCCTGTTTATTTCACTTAAGAGTATGGTCTCAAGGTGCATCCATTTAGCCAGAAATGTCTCAAGCTTATCCTTCTTTTTTTTTTTTGGTACCAAGGATTGAACTCGGGACCTTGCGCTTGTGAGGCAGGCGCCAGAACCACTGAGCTAAATCCCGGGCCCCAAGCTTATCTTTCTTTATGGAAGAGTAGTACTCTATTATATGAAAACTTTCTAAAATTGAGCAGGAAATAGAGTTCCCATACAGTCCTGTCTACACTCATGTCCTGCCTCCCCTCTAGAAAGATGCTTTGTAACAGTGAAACCTGCACTACCACCTCGTTATGACTCAGAGGCCATCTTTGCATTAGGTGTTACACCTTGTATCCATTTGGACAAATGTATGATAATGTGCATTCATCATTATAGGATCACACAAAGTATATTCATTACTCTGAGAATCCTCTGTGCTTCAGCTATTCGTGTTTCCTTCTCTCAACCCCTGACAACCATTGACTTTGCTGCTGTCTGCATATTTTGCCTTTTTCCAGAAGGTAGTGGAACTATAGGGATGTAGCCTTGAAGGTTAGCTTCTTTCACTTAGTGATATCCAGATAGGACTCCCGCAGGTCTTTTCATGCCTTGATAGCTTTCTGTAAGGTGCTGAATAATATTCCACTGTCTGGATGTACTACAGCTTATTTACTCATTTATCTAGTGAAGGCTTTCTTGGTTTCCAAGTCTTGGCAGTTGTGAGTAGAGCTGCTACAACACTGTGTGCAGGTTTTTGTGTAGAGATAAATCTTCAACCTTTTAAAACCACAGACACCTAGACTGCACCCCTCAAAACTATCTTTTCATTAGTTGGGGGTAGAATCCAGGCAGTATAATTTTAAAGACTTGCTGGGTGGGGTGGTGCACACCTGTAATCCCAGCACTCAGCATAGCCTGGGCTACTTAATGAGTTCAAGACCAGCCTGAATTACATGGTGAGACCCTGTCTCAAAAAAAAAAGAAAAACTAGAAAAAAAAATTTAAAGCCTTCTCCAAGTGACTCTAATGAGCAACTACAATTGGGAGTCACTGAGACAGAGTGTAGTAAGCCCAGGTCCTTCCCAATATCTTTCAAAAGGAAACATGATCTCCTAGGTTCAGAAAGAATAATCTTCCTTTGTGTCTATACTCAAATCTCTCTCTCTCTTTTTTTTTTTTTTTAAGGAAACTGGCTTAAACTTTGTGGATTTTGTAACATTTATTGGAAACTGCACACCATAACTTAAAAATACAGTTACTATGTTCCCCGGAATACTGAGTTTATGATTAGTGGTCTATCAACTCTAAGCTAGTGTGAGAAAAAAAAGGAGAAAAAAGATTATTTACCAGGTTGTACTTCTATTTCTGGTGTGTTGGGGGGAGGGTGGAAGGCAAGACTCAAGAGAAAGATGTCCTTAGTGCACAGTCAATGACCAAATGTGTCAGCCAGGTGGTGGCACACACCCATAATCCCAGCACTGAGGAAATTGAGGCAGGAGGATCACCATGAGTTTGAGGCCAGCCTGGGCTGCATAGTGAGTTCAAGACCAGCCCTGTCTCAAAAACAAACAAACAAACAAAACAACAAAACCCCCCCCGAGCAAATGTGCTTAATTCTGTCCACTCTCAGAACATTTTAGTCCCTCCTTTCTGCAGAGCTTCCATTAAGGAGAACGTGGAGCTGATCCGACTGAAGAAGCTCTTACATGAAAGGGAGACTTCACTGGCAGCCACAAAAGCACAGTTAACAGAAGTTCAAGAGGTGAGTGGCTGTCATCAGCACTACCTCCTTGGGGGCAAAGCCAATTAGTTAAGAAATTGGTATTATTTTCTTCATTTGCATAGGAGATACCACAATTTGGAGAGTCTGAGTTACTTGTCTAAGGTCACACAAGATGATACTCAAATCCAAATTCAGAACCATCCTTTTCCCAGAATTTCCCTGTTAGGAAGAAGGCTCCAGCCCTGCCTGCTAAGGTGGAAGTAAGTGGAGTTAACTTGTGTCAGGGTTAAGGTCCCAGCTAAGAGCCATGCCAGCAAGTCAGTCAGGAGCCAAGCACAGCCACGGGGAAGGGGAGGAAATGAATGGAGCACATTCTAGTGCTGAGTGGACTCCGTCTAGATACTCAGGGTCATGAGCTCATTTAACACGGACGACAACCCTTGAGGTAAGTACATGTAGTGGATGGAAGATGGAACTCTTCTCAAAAGAGACGAATAACTTCCTCATACTGTAAAAATGGTAAGAGGCAGAGCAGGATTTGTGTCAAACTGGCACCAAAACTCTTTTCTCATTATTATACATGAAAGCTAATATCTCACTTGTAGAAATAGCACATCAAGGGTCCAAGCAGCAGATCAGCACCTTTGTTTTATTGAACAAATATGTGGTGGGTGCTAGCAACTGTGCAAAGCCCTGGGGGAGTAGATTAGAGATGAGCAAGTCAGCTCCTGCCCTCAGGGACCTTAGAGGAGGGAGAGAACAGCATGTGAACAAGTACCACTGTCTGCATGCAGTGTGGGGAGAGGATTGAGAGCCACCTGAGGATGGGGTGTAGGCTCAGAAAAGGATTCATGAAGGGTAGGACTGAAACTGGAAGATTAGCAGGTGCTCACACGTGTACAAGAGAGAAAAGGGTTTTTTGGGGGAGAGGGGTGTAAGCTGATGCACCAAGGTAGAAACATCAGGCAACAGGTTGCAGAGCCCATTCAAAGCATTTAGACTTTACCCTGTAGAGAGTGGACAGCTGAGAAGTTGATAATATCAAACTGTTTTTTTCTTGGAAAAGATGACTTAGCCTTTTAAAAATGTCTAAAATATTTTGGAATATATTTCACTAAGTAAAGAATACCTTTATAAAGCACTAATAATTATGGGCAGTAGGAATGTAGATGATTGTTACCAAAGTCTCTGCCTTTCTGGAACCTTTAGAGGTCTTAGAAGTTACAAAATCAGCTATTGTGGCTTTCCTCATGGTAGCCCTTCCTGCTTTCTCCAGGGTGCACTTTTATCTTGCTTTTTCTCTTTTTTTATTTGGCCCAGGCTTGCTCTGCAGAGCCAGTTTCTTCCTCACTCTTCACTTTTACTTTTTCAAATAAACGTTGTCATTGCTTAAAAGAAAAAGTTACAAAATCAAAGAGAAAGACAGAATGACAGCAGAATGAGTGATAGATTGGCTAATAGCAACCAGAGGCAAAGAACTCAAGCAGAAGACCACTGCAGGGGCCCAAAGGAGAAAGAAAGACCAGGGTCCCAATAGGACAAAGAAGGAGACATGCAGAGGAAGGGGTCTTATTTTGAAAAGTCCAGGAAGTAGGAGAATGGTCTTTATCACCAAAAGGGGCAGAAAAGGAGAAGTGAAGGGCAACTCCAGGTGCCTCCCTTGGGTGACTGGATGGAGCTGGCGCCATTTACTGAAATTGGATTGGCTCCAGTTGGCCCTGCCCCAGATACAGCTGTTCTGGTGGGCCAATCTCCAAGCCTTTATTTTGTGCAGAACTATGGATATGTTTGTATGCTTTTAATCTGGTTAATTTTGGTAGCATTTAAAGGATGTAGAAACATGGGAAAGAAAATAATTTAAAGTTGTATTGGTAAATCGTTATTTTTACAGAATTAGATTTAAAAATAATCCATCTAGCACCTATAATCACAGCATTCAGGAGGCTGAGGCAAGAGGATCACCACAAGCTTGAGGCCAGTCTGGGCTACATAGTGAGTTCAAGGCCAGCCTGAACCACATAGCAAGACCCTGTCTAAAAAAAAAAAAAAACCAAAAATTAACAAAGGGGCCGGGGATTTAGCTCAGTGGTTTTGCCGCCTGCTGCGCAAGCACAAGGACCCAAGTTCGATCCCCGGTAACAACAACAACAAAAAAATTAAAACTCCATCTCTATTCCTTCATTACGTTAACCAAAAAAAGAAGAGGGGTCAGGGCTAGTTCAGTGGTACAGTGCTTGTCTGTAGGCTACCTGAGTCCTATCCCTAGCAGCGCACATACAACAAAAGAGGACGGCAATTCTAAATTAAATTTTCTTAGCCCTATTAGTGGTAGGAAACACTAGTAGAGACTAGTAGAACTAGGAAACACTAGTAGAGACTTGAAATGATAAATAATCACCTAGAATTTTCTTGAATGTAGGTTTTGTGATTTATTTTCCTTTAGCAGTTTACCTTTCTTGTTCTGCTTTCTAACGTACATACTAACATCAATTTGCATTCTCTTAATCCCTCAGGAGTGAAATACAGGGTCAAAACCCTTGACTGATTCTGGAGCCTAACAAACTGGGTTAAAGTTCTGCCTCTGCCTCTTGGTAGCTATTGTATATTCACCCCCCCCCCCGTCTCTCTCAATAGGGTCTCACTGTGCATCTGAGGCTGCCTTTAAATTCACTGTGTAGTCCAGATTGGCCTTCAACTCACATCCTCCTACCTCAGCCTCCTGAGTGCTGGGATTATAGGAGTACACCACCACATGAAGCTTCATTTTCTCCTTTTTAACTTTAATTTTTTTTAGGCAGGATCTTCCTTAGCCTCCTGTAGCACTGTATTATAGGTGTCCACCACCATGTCTAGCTGATAGCACCTATTATTTGTTTTTTGAGACAGGGTCTCACTTTGTACAGGCTGGCTTTGAACTCACTGTGTAGCCGAGGCTGGCCTTGAACTTGTGGACCCTGCTTCAGCCTCCTGAGTGTTGGGCTTACAGGTGTGCACTGCCTGGCTTTTAAAAAATTTGTTTTTATTTTTAATTTTTATTTCCCATACTGGGGATTGAACTCAGGACCTTGAGGCAGGCATGGCACCACTGAGCTACATCCCTGGCTCACTTGGCTTTGATAACACTTGTTTTAAGATTAACCTTTTTTCTTGGTAATCCACAAAGGACAGTGCGAATGTGAATGAATGACCCCTCATTCTTTTTTATAAAAGGGGTGATTGAATTATCAGGCTACCTGGCAAGTTAGGGCAGGGAAAAAAACAGCAGTGATTAGTAAACAGGGACACAAACAGATTTATGGGACTTTTTTTCCCCCTTTATTTATTTATTTTTGGTACCAGGGATCAAACTCGGGACCTTGTGCTTGTGAGGCAGGAGCCAGAACCACTGGGCTAAATCCCCGGACCTTATGGGACTTTTATTTATAATGTCTTTGTCATTGTTGTTGTTTTGAGACAGGCTCTCCCTATGTAGTTAAGGCTGGCTTTGAAGTCACTATGTAGCCCAGGCTGGCCTCCAACTCATGGAGATCCTCTTGCCTCAGCCTCCCGAGTGCTAGGGTCACAAATGTGCGCCACTATGCCTGCCTCTATAATGTCTTTTAATATAAATATTAAACATTTGTATTGTAGAGATAAATATCAAACGTTTCGGGCCAGGGATTTAGCTCAGTGGTTTCGCCGCCTGCTGAGCATGTGCAAGGACCCGAGTTCCATCCTGGTACCAAAAAAACCCCAAAAAACAAAAAAACAAAAATATCAAACATTTCATGAAATTGATGAATTAGTAAAATAATCCTTACTTCTTTCTTCTAGGCATATGAAACCTTGCTCCAGAAGGTACTTAAAAAGGATTCTTTGAATCTGCTTTTTAGTCTACAGCCATACCACCCTGAATGCGCCCGATCTCCTCTGAATCTGTTTTTTAGTGATTAATCTAACCCAAAGAAATCCATATTCATCTCCAAGTAACGTAATACCAGAATTTAGTCAACTAAATCAAAGTTATCACGTCATATAGTTTATACTAAGGTAATAGGTACTATTACAAATGATATTTATTGCATTGTTTTTATTAAAATTGAAATATGAGATCTGAGTTGAGAAACATTTGGAATGGTATTTTTTAGTCTATTAGTATAGTGATTTATAGCATTTCCTCAAAAGTCCTCAAAGGATTCCTTTAGCATGTGTGAGGTGGTGAGATATAACAGGTTTGTTGCAGTTATTCTCCAAAGTTATTTGATATTTGGGCCCTATTCACTCCTGTGAGTAGAATGCAGGAGAAGCCACATGAACGTCTACAGTTCCAGTCACTTAGTTAGAGTTCCATATGTGACAGGCCATAGCTGTGCCTCACTAGAGGAGTCCACCAGAAAAATTTACAGAGCTGATTGGGCATGCTGGTACACACCTATAATCCTGGCACTCTAGAGGCAGGAGGATCACTGTAAATTTGAGGCCAGCCTGGCCTAGATATGAGCCTGGACTACACAGCAAGACCCTGTATTTAAAAAAAAAAAATCCTTCTAGAGCTAGAAAAGCTTCTAGAGCACACAACTTCTAGAGCTGACATGTCACTTTCCTAGAAGAGAAATACATCATTTTGTCAGGTGTGGTGCACACACCTGTAATCCCAGCACTCAGGAGGCTGAGGCAGGAGGATTGCTGTGAGTTTGAGGCCAGCACGGGCTACATAGTGAGTTCAAGGCCAGCCTGAACTACAGAGTGAGATCCTGTCTCAAAAAAAAAAAAATTTTAAAAAGGAAAGAAAGAGAAATATATTATCATAAAAATATCTTTCCATGGCCAAGGATTAATTTGGACCTTGGGACATTCACAAGGCCCTGGGTTCAATCCTTAGCAACACAAAACTAATTTGGACCTTAGGAAAATTAGTACTCTCACAACAAATTACATTGTCTAGAATAGAAACTCCTCCCTGATAAGGAAACTGTTCTTCCAGAGAATGCTAAGGTGAAAAAGAGGGTGAGCTTACAGTGCAAAGGCAACATGCTATTCTGGGAGCTCATGCTATGTGGCATCCAACTGGGAATGCCAGGGCAGCTGGTGTCTGAAGCCCGTTCCTGCCGAGTGATGTGATTGTTCCCAGAAGAAATCTCCTTTGGTCCCAGAATCAGGGAATCTTGAGTGTAGCCCACAATGCCCTCTTCAGCCAAATGGATGAGCTGAGGGCAGAGTTCAAGGAGGAGTGCAAGAAGACTGTGAGCCTGAGGAGCCAACTGGAAGACGCATCAGTCTTGAAGACAACTCTGAAGGAGGTAAGTGATTATAGAGGAAGGAGGCCATCAAGTGTGCCGTAGTCCATTTTCAGAGATGGTAAAACATGCATCCTAGCAACAACATGGGTTTCTCATTTTTTCAATGAACAATGCAGCTTCGATTGCTTAAATCATTTGCTTATGATTATTGCATCATTATAGCAAATTCCAGGGCTTATACTTGGGTGTGTTCTCCAAAGTCCCTGCTCTTTCATAACATTCTACTGCTTCCCTAATAGTAGGAAGGCAGACGTAATAAAAACATACTTCAGAGAATGTGCATTCATTCCAATAAAAGTTTCTAAACCACTTTCAATTGGTTCAAACTTTTCTAGTTGAATGGCTTCTCAGAGACATGGGAGATGAGCACAGAAAAGCTCTCACCCAGGCCCCACGCTGCAGTGGAAAAGAGAAACCTGTGTAGAGCAATATATTTTTATATTTTTAAAGTTTTACCTCAAAAACTACCATTGGGCTGGGGATTTAGCTCAGTGGTTCCGCTGCCTGCCTCGCAAGCACAAGGACCCAAGTTCGATCCCCGATACAAAAAAACAAAAACAAAAACAAAAACAAAACCCCAATTCTACCATCAATTTCAGTTTCAGGAAAGAGTTGAAGATTTGGAAAAAGAACAAAAACTGCTGACTGACAGTTACAACAGACTCTTGGAAGAGTGAGTACCATGTTTGGGTCCCAGAGCATCATTGACTGTAAGGAAAAATTATAGAAAATTCCTTCTAAATTGTAAACATAATACCTAGCATTGATAACTATGTTGGGAAAATGGCACTCAATATTGTTAGTGAGAATATAAATTGTCAATCTTTTTGGAAGAAAATTGGGCACTATTAAAATGTTAAATATACATGTCTTTTTTTTACCAGCAATTCCATTTTTTTTTGGTATTGGGGATCGAACTCGGGACCTTGCGCTTTATTTTTTTCTTTTTTTTTTTTTGGTACTGGGGATGGAACTTGGGACCTTGTGCTTGCAAGGTGCCAGAACCACTGAGCTAAATCCCCAGCCCAAGGGACCTTGCACTTTCGAGGCAGCCGCTGGAACCACTGAGCTAAATCCCCAGCCCCAAAGGATGGCTTTTTTTGGGGGGGGGGCTTGACAAATTTTTAATGAGATGTGAGCATTATAGTAAAACAAAAAAGCACTTTCACTTTTATTCTTTATACTTATATATTATTTTAAATTTTCACCCAGGTGTGGTGCCACACACCTGTAATCCCAGCACTTGGGAGGCTGAGACAGGAGGATTGCTGTGAGTTCAAAGCCAGCCTGGGCTACATAGTGTGTTTCAGGACAGCCAGAACTACATGGTGAGAATCTGTCTCAAAAAAATTTTTTTTCAGAATGAACACATATTCATATATTAATTTTGTGATTAAAGATACCTAAAAGCTTTTAAAAAGTTGAAAATGCAAGCCAGGGATTTAGCTCAGTGGTTTCGCCGCCTGCTGCACAAGCACAAGGACCCGAGTTCAATCCCTGGTGCAAAAAAAAAAAAAAAAAGTTGAAAATGCCTTCTGACCCCATCAGAGACAGCAAGGAACAAATTGGTAAAGACAATAAGAGGAAGTCTTATAAGAATATTCTGGAAAAAACTGATGTTCAGTAAAACGAAGCAGTTGGGGCTATCCACTTGAGGACCCACAGTGGCACGAGTTCCTGTTGGCATCGATCCTTCATCACCCTGAATGTCATTCTCTTGGGTCATCACATTATATATACACATTAAGAAATCTCAGGGTTGAGAATTTATCTCAGTGGTTTCACCGCCTGCCTCGCAAACCCAAGGTCCCGAGTTTGATGTCTGGTACCAAAAAAAAAAATTCTCAATACTACCCTAGGCAAGTTTTTTTTTAAAATGTATTAAACTGATAAGTAGAAAAAAATATAAATAGAAACAACTGTTTGATATCAGTGTCAGTTCACTTATGTAAATGTCCAAGAACTAACCGTGAGTGTGTGTATGTGTGTGTGTGTGTTTAAACTCATGTGCCTGATTTATTTCACTTGGAATTATGGCCTCAAGGTGCATCCATTTACCTACAAATGACTCAAATTTGTCCTTTTTATGACAGAGTCATACTCCGTTGTATATAAAAACCACATTTTCTTTATCCATTCACCTTTTGATGGGCATTTGGGCTGTTTCCAAGATTTAGCTATTTTAAATTGTTCTGCTGTAAAATGGGTATCCATATATCATTATGGTATGATGCTTTTAACTCTTTTGGGAACATGCCTAGAAAGGAAATAGCTAGGTGAAATGGAACCTCTAGTTTTAGTTTTTTGAGGGCTCTCCATACTGATTTCCATATTAGTTGTACCAATTTACATTCCCACCAACAATGGAGAAAAGTTCTTTTTTACACACAGCTTCACCAGCACTTGTTATCGGTTGATTTTTTTAAAATTAAGTTTATTGGTACATTTTAGGGATACAATACAGTTACATTCATCATTGGGATCTTGTACCTTTACATGATGTATCTTGGTTTTTTGTTTTTTTTTTTTTTTGGTACTGGGGATCAAACTTGGGTCCTCGTGCTTTCGAGACAGGCGGTATAACCACTGAGCTAAATCCCTGACCCTGTATCTTGCTTCTAATTTTTTCCCATTCCCCTGCCCTCCCTTCACCCCCTTCACCCTTCCCTATTTACAAAGACTTTTTTCCATTTTTTCCTTTTCTCATGTTTTTTCTTTTCCCTTCTTTCCTTTCCCCTCCCCCTCCCACTTCACCTACTTCTTTAGTCCTTTTCTTCCTATTTCAATTATCAGTTATACATTTTGATCCTTAATTTACACTTTTAGTTTTTCACACCAGAGAAACTATTTGGTATTTACACGTGTTTGTCCTATTTATTTCACTTAAGAGTATGGCCTCAGTGTGCATCCAGTTAGCTATAAATGTCTCTAGTTTCTCATTCTTTATGGCTGAGTAGTACTCCGTTTTATAAAAAAAAACACCACATCTCCTTTATCCAGTTTCCAGTTGATGGGCACTTGGGCTGTTTCCAAGCTTTCGCTATTACAAATTGTGCCGCTATAAACATGGGTGCATATATATTGCTGTGATGTGATTCTTTTAATTCTTTTGGGAAGATACCCAGCAGAGGAATAGCTGGGTCAAATGGGACCTCTAGTCCTAGTTTTTTGAGGTATCTTCATGCTGATTTCCACAGTGGTTGCACCAGTCTGCACCCCCACAAACATGGAGAAGGGTTCCTTTGTCCCCACAACCCTACCAGCATTTGTTATTGGTTGATTTCATGATACCAGCCATTCTTTGTGGGGTGAGGTGGAATCTCAGTGTTGTTTTCATCTGCATCTCTCGAATGAC